GTGTGGGAGCCCATGCCTGGGATCCAGCACCTGAGATGTAAAACCAGGAGGCCTGGAGTTCAAGGCCATCCTAGGCTACATAGTTAGTGCCAGGCCATCTTGGGCAACATGAGTTCCTGTCTCAAAATACCAAAACCAACCAAACAAGCCAAAAAAATAAAAGTTCCAGTTCTCTCATTTCCTAACTACAGAAACTTTGTTTTTTCTTTGCAAAATGAGAATAATAATAAAATAAACTACTGTCTTAATTACTGTTAAGTTGCTATGAAGAGACACCATGACCAAGCATCTTATAGAAGAGGCTTTATTGGGAGCTTACCCTTTCAGAGGGTGACCTGTGACCATCATGACAGGGATGGCGGCAGGGATGCAGGCATGGTAGCAGCAGGCAGGCATGGCACAGGGGCAGTAGCTGAGAGCTTACATTACATCCATAAACATGAGGCAGAGACAGAGAAAGCTAACTAGGAACAATGGGGCCTTTTGAAACCTCAAAGCCCATCCCCAGTGACATACCTCCCAATCCTTCCCAGATAGATCTATCAACTGGGGACCCAGAGTCCAAACTTATGAGCCTCTGGGGCCATGTTCACTCAAACCCTCAAACCACAGCACCTTCAATGTGCCACTGAGTTGCTGGATACTGCTGATAAGGCAGTGAGTAAGATGGGCAAACTAACAAACTAAACAATAACAAAACTCCTGGCTCCCGGGGCTTCCTACATGGAGTTCATATTCTGGCGGAGTCACCAGCTTACAGATAAGAGTTTAAGCCACAAGAGTAGGCAAGGTCCTGAAGGCAGATGACGTAGAGACCAGTCCCGGGGCACTCTAATTGTGTATTTGTAGTAGACACGGTGCCCTCTTCTGGCCTGCAGGGATACATATAGGCAGAACACTGTATACATAATAAATCTAAGAACAAAATAAAATAATTATAAAAACCATTTTAGAGTATTATCAGTTATCATAAATGTCATGACTTCAAGTTATATACAGGAAGAAGGTTGCTAATATGTAGTGTGAAGGGCGAGGGGAGTATGATATAAAGCCATGTTTACCTGTTACTTTCTCTTTGTATTTCCATTCTTGGTATAACATTGAATTTATTTTGTGGCCCTATTTACTTATAAAACACAGGAATATATGCATACATACAGAATAAACTGAGGCTATATATCAAGATACTAGTAACAGGGGCAGGTAAGCTGCCTCATCAGGGAAAGGCACTTGCTGCATGATAATGCAAGCCTAAGGACCTGAGTTCAATCCCTGGAACCACATAAAAGTGAAACAGTAACAGAAGCTCACAAAGCTGTCCTCTGATCTCGGCATGCATGCTGTGGCCCTTGTGTAGAGATACAATGATAATAAAGTTTGAGACTATAAAATACTAATCAGTAAATAATGCACACTTCCCTTATTTTACTGTGTGTTTGCCAGTTGTATGGAATAAACATATGTCCTACAATTAACAAGTAAAAAGGATGTTTTGTTTTTAATGCAGGGGAGGGCTGGAGAGATGGCTCAGTAGATAACAGCACTGGCTGCTCTTTCAGAGGACCTGGGATTAGATTCCCAGCACCTACACAGTGACTCACAACAGTCCCGTAACTCCAGTCCCAGGGAATTCAATACCCTTTCCTGCCCTCTGAAAGTCAGGCACACAAGTGGTGCAAAGACATCCATGCAGACAAAATACCCACACACGAAAAAGAAGAATGCAGAGGCGGGTGCTATACCCTTACCTAGCAATTTATGAGGTCGTCAATTCAATCCTTAGTAAAAATAAATAAAAACTTGCTTAGCGCAAAGCCATGGGCCAAGCCTGTCATTCAGATGTTTGAGTTCATCTTTTTATAGTGAGTTTGGGGCCAGACCAAGGGGGAGGGCATGGCTCAGTGGTTAAGAGCATGGTTAGTCTTCCCTAGGACCCTGGTCCCATTTCCAGCACCCACATGGAGGCTCACAACTGTCTGTAACTCCAGTTCCAGGGGATCTGATGTTTTCTTTTGGATTCTGCAGGCACTGCATACACACACTACACAGACAGACATGCAGACAAAACACCCACACACATTAAAAAAGTATGACGTTGGTGCAGCCTTCCTGTTTTATAATGAAAGTGGAGAACACACTTCATTCCTCGGACCTCCACAGATGTGCCACAGCACACACTCCACCTACCCCCACTAATGATAAATCTAAGTCGAACAATTATAAAGAAAAAATTAAATAGTGGAATAACCTGAAAAGAACTCATGAATTCTTTTAAGATGCTGGCATGGGGTAGGGGTTTAGCTCGGGGCAGAGTCGATGCTTAGCATCTGTAAGGCTAAATTTACTCTTCACAGTTAACTTTTTTTTTTTTTCAAATTTGTGGTGTAGTGGTGCAAGTCTATTATCGCAGCCTTTCAAGAAAGCTGAGGCAGGAGAATCATAAGTTGGAAACCAAGCTGCTTGTGCTGCATAGCGAGAACCTGTCTCAAAAATTTTTTTTCACAGTCACTAAATAACCATTTATTGAACAGATTTTAGCAGAGGGGTCACCATGATCCTCATTGTCTAGCATTATGTCTGGCATGCTGTAGGTGCTCCAAGTAGCTGTTGTTTCAACAAATGACTATACGAGTCTACAGACCTTCCACACTTGAGACCTTGTGAGTCAGAAAGCCTTCTCGCTCCCTTTGCTGTTTGCCTTCTCTGGTCTGAGAGTAATTATAAAACATTTATGTGAGAAACCACCAATTTAAAGGCCCTTAATTATATACTACGTTGTCTTCTATTGTTCCCTAATTATATTAGGAGTTTAAATCCGTCCTCCTTGACAAGAGCACTGGTTCCCACAAATCAATTCCATTCAATTAACGCTTATTGAGCACAACGTATTAAGTACCTCAATCTGTCCCACCAAACCTTCCGTTCAAAGAATAGAAACTTCAAAAGAGAACCTGTAATCCTAGCACATAGCAGGAGTCTGCCAATAAAAAGGATGGGAGGGATGGAGGGTGAGCGTGAGCCGCATCGAAATGGTTAAATGCAAGAGCTGCCAAGTGGCTAGGAAAACTGACTCGCTCACATTGTCCTCTGACCTCAGTGCGCAAGCCGTGGCGCGCACGCCTACACACAAATAATATTGTTTTTAAAATCAAAGAGATTACAATAGTGCTAATCAGGCAGTGTCAGGCTGGGGATCAATTAATTCTTAAGAAAAGCAGTCCAGGAAGGCGGTGGGTAGGGGGTAGAGTTTTCGGCTGACTTGGTAGCTAACAGGAGTCTGTCAGGCTCTTGACAGGGGGCTAGTGGTAACAGATGCTGGAGAGGCTGGTACCATAACAGAGTCTGAGCTACAAGAATGAGCCTTCCTCGCCTTCTGCTTTAATATCTGTCCCAGACACGACAGCAAGCCCTGCCTCTCCCCGATGTACAGTCAACACAGCAATGGGAGCCCGGGAGAAAGGGCAGGGATCCAGAAGGGGGCTGGCCCGACAGGCTGACAGAGAGCGTTGTCTGTCTTGCTGTCGGCCACGGAGGACCATTCGGGAAGCAGCGGACCAAACCGGGTCAGAGTCACCAAGTCAAAGCCTTACCTGCCGTCCCACCCCCACTCGGGGCCCACGCAGCCGCCAACTTGAAATTCGCTTTTCTTCCTCCAGCCCGCGTCCTAGGCCCGCCTCCCCGAGCTCTCCATTGGTGGATTCCCCGGCCAATCTTGGCCAGCGGAGGAGGGGGAGGCGAGGAGGAGGGGTGGGGAGAGAGCCTAACCGGAACTGAGGCTTGGGAAGTGGGGCGCGCTGAGATCTGGGGCTGCAGTCTCCACCTCAGCCCGGACGGAACCGCCTGGACGGCAGGAGTCGGCCAAGACGACCTGCTGCTCAGAGCTCATCCAGGCAGCTGAGGAGAGCCGCTGCTGGGAAGTGGCCTCCTGGCTGCTCTATGCTCCCCAGCTCGTTCTCAGCACCCGCCTGGAGGCGCCCAACCGCCAGACTAGCGCCTCTGGCGCCCTCTCCTGGTCCTGCGCGCCACCCCACTCCCCCACTTTCCGACCCACTCTAATCCTGCGCAGTCTCCAGCACCAACAATAAATACTTTAAAAAAAAAAATTTTTTTTTTTAAAGACGGTCTGGTTACCCAGTCTAGGCTGGCCTTGAACTCATGATACTCTTGCCTCTGTGATTACGGTGTGCTACCAAACTCAACCCAAGAATGCCCCCTTCATTCACCCCCCGTGGATTGGAACTGTGTCTGAGAAGTGGGAGGGGGCTTGGGGATCAGAGAAGTCGCTGGGGAGAGAAGGCAGGAACCCAGTGGGGTTTTCTTTCTGTATTTCCCAACGGCCTTTCAAGCCCCTTGGTAAGGTGAGGGGGAAGTCATGCTTCAGGATGGAAGAGAAAGTTAGTAGTCAACAACAATATGCCAGATGTCAGAGAAAATGGCCTCTAGACTGGGAAACTGTATGTGAGTGTAGTGTCAAGTGCCCAGTTTTGGGACTAGTACAAAAATAGTTGTGAAACTTTGGGGGAAACTTGCTTAACCTCATTACATATGCTGCAAGAAGACGATTGTTCCCACCTTATAGAGTTGTGGGGCTGGAGAAGTATGCACTGCAGAATGCCCGGCACACATCAATAGCTTGTATAAGCGGCTGTTTTCCCTACAAGTATTTCTCCTCCTCACCCAGTAACGTTTTTTATATCTGTATATGGTGGCCTCCGCCATTTTAATTCTCAAGGATACTTGGAAAGCTTTCCAAACCCTCAGAACCTATCCAGTGCCCCCACTTCCCTTGGTACCTTCCGACTGGACACAAACTCATCCCTAAAATATGCAGATGGAAGCCTTGGTAACCATGGAGACAGGGCAGGTGGCACGGAGAGGCAGAGGCAGTGAGAGCAACAGATAGGAAGAGACAAGGAGTGATTCAGGCAGGGACCTTCAAGCGAGATGGAAAAATGAGTCTAGTGGAGTAGAGCTATAATGAGGGCGCCCGTGTAACAGGGTTCAGCCATTGCTCTGCCCTTTTCCTCTCTCTTGTGGACACCCCTTAAAATACAGGGGGAAAGGAATCTGAGAGTGCCCCCTTGCCCTAAAAAATGCCCGGAGAGAGCTAGCTAGCTACCTTCCTCACATTCCTAAGGGACCCACGGGAACTGAGATCTAAGTGTCTCTGTGGTGATGTTTGAGAGAGGTGCAGCGGGGATATATTGCTGTCTGATTTCAGAGGCTATACTCTCCCTGATATTTCAACTACATCTCCTGCCTCTTTCTGATCTGTGTGGACGCCGCTGCAGATCCCATCCGCCTCCCTCCAGTCCTCTGCACAGTGCCATATGCCGTGTGTGGCAGTCAGGTCTGGCATACTGGAGCTCATGGAGATCTGCTGAAGCTCAACGAAGAATCAGAATCGGAATGCTTCCTGAATGGGTCGCAGGAGAGTCCCCTAAGGAGCGCTTAGGTTTGTTGGGGTTGGGGGAGGTGGGTTAGGAAAGGGAAGTCAAGATTGGAGGCACTGTTTTTTTTTTTTCTTTTTTCTTTTTTGGCTTATGTGTGTACGCTTGGGGGTGGGGAGCCGCTTGGTGCCGGACGCCCCCACCCGCAGAGACTGGGCTATAAATAGCACAGCAGAGCTCCGCCCCCCCCCCCCCTCTTCTCTCCTCCGGAGCCGGCGCTGTGCCCGGGGCGCACCGGGAGGAGGGACCAGGATCCAGCGCTGGGGCGCAGATACTGACACCAAGGGAATCCGGGTGCCCCCCCCACGCCATGTGGGCCCCCAGGTACCCGGCTCCTCCACCCCGGAGGTCCCCATGGCCCGGGCCTCAATCCTGGCCAGGCAAAGATTATGCGGACATTCAGGTATCTATTTGGGGGTACAGCCTGGGAGGGGGAAGAACAAGGAGCGACGGGGAACATAACAGGGGCAAAAGAATCCCTAAGTCTTCCTCCACCCCTTTAGGTCCCAATTGCAAGCTGCTTCCTTCCCCCCACTCAATTTTTGGGGATGTGGCAGTCTAAAAGAGGTTAGGAATAGAAATATGGGTATGACGGTACGGGTGCATGTGTGGGGGTGGGTGGCGTTCAGTATCCTAGAGAGGGGTATTCCAAGTGTGGATAAGAAAAGGGGGATGTTGGAAAGGTCTGATAAGCCGTGGGGTGCGAATGGGGGGGTGCGAATATCTCTGCGCGTGCATGTACGTATTTGCACGAGCCCTCATCCTTCAGTGCGGATGCACTCTTCCCACCTCTTCTGGCATGCGCTGGGGGCGAGGGGGCTCAAAGGCAGGAGTCAAGAGTAAGGACTGCATTGGAGATCATATTAATCACTCCCGTCATACACCAGGCATCTTCATCAGTGCCTCAGTTTCCCTGCCGAACCTATCAATAAGCTCTCTCTATCCTCTTTTTTACAGGGCTAGGCTTTACCACCAAGACCTCAGGCCTCTCCCAACCACCACCCCCACACTCCTAGCCATCTTCGGCAGGTCCCATTCCTGGCTCCATCGGTGCTTTCGCCCGAGCCGCAGCTATGCTACACACCGAGGGCCACGCTCTTCTTCGGGCGGTGGGTCAGGGTAAGCTTCGCTTGGCCCGTTTGCTTCTGGAGGGAGGAGCCTACGTGAATGAGGGTGATGCCCAGGGGGAAACTGCGCTAATGGCGGCCTGCAGGGCCCGCTACGATGACCCTCAGAACAAGGCACGCATGGTACGCTACCTCCTGGAGCAAGGCGCGGACCCCAACATCGCAGACCGTTTAGGACGCACCGCGCTCATGCACGCTTGCGCCGGGGGTGGGGGAGCAGCAGTGGCCTCTCTGCTTCTTGCCCACGGCGCAGACCCCTCAGTCCGAGATCACGCTGGCGCTTCGGCGCTTGTCCACGCCCTGGACCGCGGGGACCGTGAGACCCTTGCCACGCTGCTGGACGCCTGCAAGGCCAAGGGCACGGAGGTCATCATCATAACCACGGATACCTCGCCCTCGGGCACCAAGAAGACCAGGCAGTATCTCAATTCCCCACCGTCCCCGGGGGTGGAGGATCCTGCACCCGCTCCTCCTAGTCCAGGGGTCTGCACGTCGCCTTCTGAAGTCCAGCTGCAAACTGCAGGAGGAGGACGGAGCTTGTTATCCCCTCGCGCCCAGGAAGAAGAGGAGAAAAGAGACATATTTGAATTTCCTGTTCCTAAGCCCCCTGACGACCCTTCCCCTTCCGAGCCTCTCCCCAAGCCGCCTCGACATCCTCCAAAACCACTCAAAAGGCTCAACTCTGAGCCCTGGGGCCTTGTGGCTCCTCCTCAACCGGTCCCTCCTGCCGAAGGAAGGCCGGGGATGGAGCGCCTGGCCGCTGAATTTAACGGCCTGACCCTAACCGGTAGACCGCGTCTTTCCCGGCGTCACAGCACCGAAGGCCCGGAGGACCCGCCCCCATGGGCGGAGAAAGTGACAGGCGGGGGTCCTCTCTCGCGCCGAAACACAGCGCCCGAGGCTCAGGAGTCTGGTCTTCCTGCAGGGCTAAGGCAAAAACTGAGCCGCATGGAGTCCGTGGAGCTCGATACCCCTGGACATTTTTGCCCTGACTCACCCGAGTGCAGCCGCTTATCCCTGGAGCGCCGGCGGTACAGCGCCTCTCCGCTGACCCTCCCTCCAGCGGGCTCAGTTTCTTCTCCGCGCCAGTCCCAAGAGAGTCTGCCCGGGGCTGTATCCCCGCTGAGCGGACGGAGGCGGAGTCCCGGGCTGCTGGAACGCAGGGGTTCCGGGACCCTGCTCCTGGACCACATCTCGCAAACGCGACCTGGTTTCTTGCCTCCTCTCAACGTCAGCCCCCACCCTCCCATCCCCGACATCCGCCCCCAACCCGGAGGTCGGGCACCCTCACTGCCTGCCCCTCCTCATTCTGGGGCACCAGGGTCTCCCAGGACCAAGCGCAAGTTGGTGAGACGCCACTCCATGCAGACTGAGCAGATTCGCCTGCTAGGGGGTTTCCAGAGTCTAGGCGGGCCAGGGGAACCGGGGCGCTGAGTGAGAGCCACCAAGGAGGGGGAGGGTCAGGCCCCATGGCGGGAGAACCAGCTGATACCTCAGACACGGGATCTCTTGCATGTGCTCACGGCACTGTGCACGCACACATGGGTAAGCATGTGTCCACAAGCACAGTACACTCACTAGCGAGGAAGGATAAATACTGTGTTTACTGGGCGTATAGAACCACGCATTCGTGTCCTGGTCTTTTCACACGCACACGGGATTAATTGGGTGCCCAGAGGCACAGCACACCAACAGAGGACCACATGTGCTAGGGTCCTAGACTCACTGGCATTTGTTCAGAAGCAGCAGGGAGCCCCCACTTAAGGATGGTCTCCTGTATCTTTGCCCTCCTGGAAAAGCGATCCCTTGCTTTCTATGTATGCCCTGAAACGCGGCCTATCGTACTTTCGCATACGCTGCTTTCTCTTCATGAATCTCTCTCCCCTTCGCATACGCTGCTTTCTCTTCATGAATCTCTCTCCCCTTCGCATACGCTGCTTTCTCTTCATGAATCTCTCTCCCCTTCGCATACGCTGCTTTCTCTTCATGAATCTCTCTCCCCTTCGCATACGCTGCTTTCTCTTCATGAATCCCTCTCCCCTTCGCATACGCTGCTTTCTCTTCATGAATCCCTCTCCCCATTCTGCAGGTCTTGCTTCTCCATGCCTGGCTCCTTGCTCACACCCGGCTTCCATCCGCTTTTCAGAATGTCTTCACTTTTCTTAGGGTTCCCGCAACAGCGCCCAGTCTCGGTTCTGTTGCTGCCTTCCATGCTCTCAACTTGCTTTTTATTCCCACCCTGCACCCCACCCCCCAAAACACACACCACTACAGATCGTCCTGGTTACTCCAGGGGGTGGGTCATGGGCTCGAAGCTGATCTTCTGTGTGTCTGAGCTTATGAACACCCCTACAGGTAGAAGTGGGCAGTAAGCCTAAGCCAGCCCCCCTTGCCACTTGACATGTCAAATAAATGTGTTCCGAAGTCTCTGTTCTGTCACTACCGCCTGAAGGGATGGGGTGAGGGGAAGAGAGGAGGGATGGGGGAGATGCTAACCAACAGCCACAACTACCCGGGATGGTATCTGGAGGTTACAGCTATCTGCTTTCCAGGAGCCCAACTGACCAATTGTGGTTGTAGAAGAAAAGGCAAGTGAAGGTTTTAAGGCATGTGACAGGCCTTCCCTCTAGCCTCCCCCGGCCTGACTTTTAATGATTTATTCATACAGAGATCCCCCGCCGTAAGCAGATATGACTTCCTACTTATTGACTTTTTTATTTTGCTTTTTTTTATAAACACAGGGTTTGATTTCATTTCACCCAGTGTGCCTCGTCCGTTTTCACCTCCATGTTTAATCTCTGAGCCACCCTAGGAGAGAGGGTAGGGCTAGTAACTTCACCCAAGGAAAAAAAAAAAGGAATGATAGTCAATCAGCAAAAGCGTGTTATAGTGTGAGCGCATGGGTGTCTGTGGGGACAAAAGTTGGAACTCAGCCTGAGGAGTTCTACGAACAAAGTTCCCCCCTCTGATCTATGTCCTGACTTTCTCAGTTTGATAGGTTTCTGCATGTATTCTAGCTCTTTCTTTCGGTACAGTGATGAACACACTCTACTTTCTCTCACTCCCTTAGTGAGTAGCTGAAGTCAGAAAACCATCCCTCAATGTTGCATAGTGAAAAGATAAAAACACTTGGGTCAGTACACTTAGGTCCGAACCACCGTAACTGTCTAGCTATTTGATTTGGGGCAGAATATCTAACCTTCCTGAGCATCACTTTCCTTGTTCATAAACTATTAAAGCCTGGTTTATGCTTGCAGTTCAGACAGTGCACTGAAGTATACCACATAGCATGTTCTCCTAAAAGTCAGCAGCATACTCCATTTTAGCTTCATCACCAATAGTAGACGACCTTAGAGTCGCATCGCTTCTTGGAACCACATCTTCCTCTAGAAAGTGGTGTGACCTGACAAATGAGCTCTAAGAACCCTTTCCAGTTACAAGTCTACTCAGCCTTGCATCCAGGCCTATTTTTCCTTCAAGCCCCGCCCCAGGGGTCTGGCCGGATTTCTAGCGTTTACCACAGGATTCCCAAAGATGCTCCGAAGCTCTCCCTCTTACACTGTATCGCCTTTTCTCTTTGCAATTGGCTCCCGCAGCCTCCGCCTTCCTCAATCATTTGCCTAAGGTGGCGCAGCGGCCCGCCCCTTCCCTCCCTCTCCACCAGTGATTGGCATAGCATCTGGCTCGAACCCGCCTGCTCTTGACTGACAGCTGGACCCCGGCACCGCCCTCAGTCCCTCGGCTCTTGCTCACTGGGGTAGCTGGGACCGTTAGCTCGCCAGGCTGGCAAGCTGCGGGGTCCAGCTCTGCGGTCGGCCGGGATGGAGACGATGCGAGCACAGCGGCTGCAGCCCGGCGTAGGTGTCGGCGGGAGAGGCACTCTGCGAGCGCTGCGGCCGGGGGTGACCGGGGCCCCGACTAGCGCCGCCACACCCCCAGCAGGCCCGCCGCCCGCCCCGCCGCCCCCCGCCCCGCCCCCGCCGCCGTTGCTCCTGGCTGGGGCCCCCGGGCTGCCCCTGCCCCCCGGCGCTTCGGGGAGCCCTGCCGTGCTGCGTGAGGCCGTGGAGGCGGTGGTGAGGAGCTTCGCCAAGCACACGCAGGGCTATGGCCGAGGTGAGTATGGGGGGCTGGCCTCCTGCGGGACACACACTAGGCAGGAGGCTGGCTCCACTGTCCTCCCGGTGGCTCCGCTTGGCGTCCAGCCCTCGCATGCATGCATTTCCTTTTGGGGAGTTTCCTTCTGGACACAGACACACAGACGACACACACACACACACACACACACACACACACACAGAGAGAGAGAGAGAGAGAGAGAGAGAGAGAGAGAGAGAGAGAGAGAATCGGACTCCTTTCTTTTTTCAGACGTTACCCTCTTTTCTGTCAGCAGCAGAACTCCCGCAGGGTTAAGGTTTTAACGGCCTTCTCCCGTTGAGAACCGGCCCCTATTGTGTGGACTCCCGTCCTTTATCTCAGACCCCGGGCACTTCTCATCCTACCCAGTCCTGCATCCCTTTCGGCAATTCCTGTACTCCGGCTCCTTAACCCTGACTTTGTAATTCTTCACGTACATATCCTCCCCACCCCACCCCAGGAGATTTCCATCGCGACTTCAGATCTGCTGGAGAATGGGGTAGTGCTTTCAAAAGTCACTCACATGAATCTCTTCTTTGAATCTGGACTCACACCATTGAGGCCGTGCCAGCTTCCTGTGACTCGGTGCCTCTCTTCAGTGTCTTTCAGTTTGGAGCCTCACAACTCGGGCCTCTGTCTGTCTGGCTCTGTGTTCCTGGCCCCTGCCCAGGAATTGAGAAAAAATCTCAGGCCTTGGCTCTCTCAGTGCTAAATTCTGTGGAAGCAAGCCAGGCAGCAACCCTGTTTTGCTAAGAAACCTCCAGCTTAAAGATGCCTAATTTCTGGGAAGAGGGATGTGAGGATTTTCTTTGTTGTTTTTGTTTAAGCACTGTTAACCAATTTCCTGTCAGAATTCTGGTCCCAAATTCAGAGTTGAAGGGACAAGGAACACCCAGCGAAGGGTGTGTGACTCAGACTTTAAGTCTGGAATTTCAAACACATTACTTCTGTTTGCTTAATCGGGACCTCCTTGGACTGAAAGCAACGGGATCCTTTCTATTTTAATAGGAGAAAAGTTGCAGGGCCTTCTTCCTTTCCTCCTCCTCCTCTAGCTCTGGCTGCTGACCCTCTCTCCCTCCCTCCCTCCCTCCCTCCCTCCCTCCCTCTCTCTCCCCTTCCTTCTTGAGGAAGCTGTAGTGGAAACAGCAGGAACAGGCTTTGGAGACCTGTCACTTGCAGCGCTGTCTTTGGGGGAAGGGACTCATAACCTCACCAACCAACAGTTTCTTTAAGGGTTATGCTATGGATTAATTACGATTCTGCACCTGACAACACAATGGGCACTTAATATGATTGTTGGCTCAGATTTTCTACTTAGCTCTTCCTTAAGAACATGTGTCATTTTCTCCTACTCTTAAATATTTGTATCTTTATAAAAAAACAAAGATTTCAATGGAAACAGATGTTCAGATCGACTTAACTGCATGCCTGATGGTTCCCTTACTATTCATTTCCCTGCACTCTTGAGCCACTTTGAACTTCAGCTGTGGCCAGGACTCTGTAAGGCGCTGGGGATACAAGAGGACATATTTCTGAAACTCGTGAGCCACCATAGTTACTTCCCAGACAGCTTCCTGGATTTAACGAGGATACGGATAGAATGCCTTCAGCCATATCCTGCTGTTTCTGGTCTTTTACGTCAGTTCAGTTCCGAAGGAAACATCCTGCCTCAGGGTGTAGTTGTAGCCAGTCGTTACCCTAATTCTGAAGAGCTCCTCTTGGAAATGTGAAGGCATTTGGTGAACATTATAGAGAAATGTCCCCTCTTTTCTCACCTGTGCTTCTCTGCCCTGAAGAGTCTCCAGTTTGGCGTCTAAACTGGGTGCCTGGAAAACCATTTTAGTTTCCTTAGAAAGGATGAGGGAACAAAGGGCTTGCACTGACAAAGAGAAGTCAGTCGGATTCAGATTCTGCGGTGAGCCTCTCTTTCAGTCTCCCCACTCCCACCACGGTCTTCTTCTTATTGAGTTTCTCCTTTCCAGTCTGGGTGTCCGGCTAGTGCTGTAGGAGAATTTGGCTCTCTGCTGATTTGGCTCCAAGTCCTTCACCACATGGAACCACTTATTCTGCTTCAATTAATAGGCAAAGCTTCCATTGGCATGGACCCATATACCCTTGTGACTGATGGCATGATAGTCAGGGGATGGTTCTGTTGCCCTGAATATGATTTACTTTGGTCGCTGTCCAGATCGCTCTTTCATCTGGCAAAACCTCCCACCTCATCTTGGCTTCACGTCCTTCATCTTCTTCCCGACAGCTCCAGGCTCCTCACCATCTCCACTGCTGTCTTCTTAGATTTCCCTCCCCCAGTGTTGGATCTCAGCGTCTAGGTACACACATGTGTGCATGCATGCGCGCACACACATAAACACACAAACACTTCCCTCTTCTGTTATTTCCACCATCTTTCCCACTCCCCATTCCCCTACCCGTACCTGCTCAAAAATCACACACACTATTGTGCTGGCTACTTTGTTTTGGTTTGATTTGGTTTTCGAGACAAGGTCTTGGTATATAGCCCAGGTTGTCATGGAACTCACTGTGTAGTTCAGGCTTTCAAGATCATGGTGAGTCCCCTGCCTCAGCTTCCCTTCCCTGAGACTACAAGCATGTGCCATCATGCCTGGCTTGCTGTTGGATCTTACAGTGTATAGAATTTGAATTGGGTACATGACCCTGTCATACAGTGGCTGCGTGATCTTGGCGATATTGCTTACTCTTTGTATGCCCTTATCTGTTCCATTTATTCATCTAACAAACAATGACTGCTTGCCAGACTCAGTGGTGAACACGGCACATATTCAGTCTGTCTTGATAAAGCTCAGTCCACTTTTGAGAATGGGAGGATTAATGCCACAATAAAACAGATAGTACAATAGAAAGAGGGCTTGTCTGGGAGCCAAATGAATTATTATTTCTTAATCCTGCTTCTGTAACTTCCAAACTGTTCCTTAAGTTGTATATTTAAAAAAAACTGGATATTATAGTACTTGTCTTGATTTAAAGGTTTTTTTTTAATGTATGTAGATGTTTTACCTGCATGCACGTCTGTGTTTCATGTTCATGCCTGGTGCCCACAGAGACCAGAAGGGCGTGTTGAGTCCCCAGGGACTGGACTTACAGATGGTTTTGAGCCATATTGTGGGTGCTGGGAATTGAACCCGGGTCCTCTGACAGAGTAGTGCTTTAAACCAGTGAGCCATCTCTCCAGCTCTATAATAAATACATTTTGTGCCAGGCGGTGGTGGCGCACGCCTTTAATCCCAGCACTTGGGAGGCAGAGGCAGGCGGATCTCTGTGAGTTGGAGACCAGCCTGGTCTACAAGAGCTAGTTCCAGGACGGGCTCCAAAACCACAGAGAAACCCTGTCTCAAAAAACCAAAAAAAAAAAATTGTGTGATATTTTCTCCTTAGCTACCCTTTGTCGTCAGAATCACAGACAGATTCTTTTTCTAAAAATGTCACTGGAGCTAAACTAGTATGCGCATTTACAATTTTTGGAAATATTGAGTCAGCACCCCTGTTAATTTCTTCTGGCTATAATAACAAAGCAACACAAATTCTGCTGCTTAAAACAGCAGTGATGAAATAAACAACAGAAATGAAGTGTCTATGGTGGTGCACATCTATAATCTTACTTGGGAGATGGAGGCAGAAAGAAAAATGGAAATTAATGGCCATCCTGGCTATATGGGGAGTTGGAGGCCAACCTGAGCTATGTGAGCCCTTGTTTCAAAAAACTAAAACAAAAGAGTATGTTCTTCTGCCGGCCAGATGTCAGCATCAGTATCACTGGGTCAAATGGATGTTAGCAAGATGCTGCCAGAAAGCCTAGTGTCCCTTGCCTTCTCCAGCTTCTGGTGGCAGTGACATTCCTGAGCCCTGATCATGACCACATGGCTTTGCATACCTCTGTGCCTTCTCCTCTTCTGTGCTTTGTCAATCCTGAGCACCCCTAACAGTTTTGTTGCTGTTTCTTTTTTGTTTTTTGAGACTGGATCTTACCTGTGTAGCTCTAGCTAGCCTGTAAGTCATAATGCAGATCAGGCTAGCCTTGAACTCATAGTGATCCACTTGCCTCTGCCTCCCCGCGCCACCTGTATAATCTAGGATGATTTCCATGAGTCAGATTCCTTAAACACTCCGGCAAAGCCTTTTTCATGTGAGGTGATATCCACAGGTTCCAGGGATTAAACACATCTTGGTGGGATGCACTATTTGGCTTTACTATGTCTCTTTCATACTATGTCCTTACTAAAGTCACTGCTACTTCACAATGCTGTCTTTACAGAACTTCCGTGCACTATAGGTTAGGTATGGTCTTCTAAAAAGAAAAGGGAATCATAGATAAAATATTGTTAAGCAGCTTTCCTATTTTCCATAATATTTTCAATGAACCTCTGCAGCTCATTCTTACAAACCTGTGTGAACAGGGAAAACTTCTGACCTTGCAATGCCATTGCCTATTCATTATCTTTTAACTCCTTCATCCTTACCACAATATTGTCTTTATTCTTTTTTTGTTGCAGTTTTTGTGGTTTTGTTTAAACACAGATAAAACATGCACACAAGCCGTCTACTCATTCTCTCCTCTGCGCAGCCTGGCGTTGGGGCTGGTGACTCTGATGGCCGGCTGCGCTGCTCTTTCCACGATGGTTTTCGGTTCTAGGAGGAAACACTGTGAGCAATCTCAGCACAGTAGGACTTGTGCAAATCAGCAGCACCTCCTGCTCCTTGATGCTGTGGACCAGAAACTTCCGGAAGCCACTAGGCAGCGTGTGCTTGGTTTTCTTGTTGCTCCCATAACCAATGTTGGGCATCAGGATCTGGCCCTTGACTCTTCTCCGCACCCTGTTGTCAATACCTCTGGGCTTCCGCCAGTTTCGCTTAATCTTGACATATCGGTCTGACTGGTGCTGGATGGACTTCTTGGTCCTCTTTTTGACAATCTTGGGCTTCACCAGAGGCCAGAGGGCAGCTATGATGTTTCCCCCCCCGCAAAAAAAAAAAAAAGCTAATCTTTTTTTTTTTTTTTTTACCTCTGTGTTTTTTAGGAGTTTTGCTTGTTTGTTTTGTTTTGTGAGGAAGGCTCTCAAGTAATCCTGGCTGACCTCAAACTTGGAATCCTTTGGGCTCAGCCTTCTCAGAGCTGGGATTAGAGATGTGTGCTGCCTCCCCTGGCCCTTAATTATTCTTGTATTACTGTTGTTCCTGTGTTACTCCCCTCATCCTCCACAGCGCTTGGGAATTAAACCCAGAGCTGGAGCTCTGTGCATGGTGGGCCAGCACTCTACTTCTGCACCACATCCTCGGTCCCTGGGTTTATTCCCTGTTTTAGATCTAGTTTATGAGGGGTGTGTGTGTGTGTCTGTCTGTCTGTCTGTCTGGTCTATGTGCAGGTGTGTGCATACCTCAACTCATGAGGAGGCCACAGGTGGAATTGGATCCATCAGAGCTGAGGCTACAGGTATTTGGGAGACACCTGGCTTGTTCTGTGGGTTCTGGGATCTGATTTCAGTTCTCTTGATTGCTCAGCAAGTGCTCATAACTCCTGATCTATCTTTCCAGCCCCTCTTTTTATTCTTATGATTTCAAATATTCTTTAGTTTCATGGTGTCCTTGGGGAGCTAAGGGAAGGAGAGATTGGAGCTGGAACGTGCACCAAGGCTTCAAGGGTGCTAAGCATATATTCCTAACAACTGAGGTACAAGTCTACCCCATGTGTTATTTTAGTGTCTTTATCCCTGTGGATAGGATTTGTCACTAGCCTGCCTTCCTTTCTTCCTTCATTCCTTCCTTCCTTCCTTCCATTTATTTATTTATTTTTAGTTTTTTGAGACAGGGTTTCTCTGTAGCTTTGGAGCCTGTCCTCGAACTCATTCTGTAGACCAGGCTGGCCTCAAACTCACAGAGATCCATCTCCTTCTGCCTCCTGAGTGCTGGGATTAAAGGCATGCCACCACCACCGCCCAGCTACTAACATTTCATTTAGACAGTCATCTATTGTTTTATTTCCTACAGGTAAAACCTTAAACATCCCCTTTGTGTCTGCCCACCACAGTATAAGGACTTAGACATTCTTCACCGCTTTGGTCTTTAGCTCAACCCAGCATCTGTCACTAACTTCCACAAAGCATTGCATCTGTCAAATATATATCCTGTTGAGCACATCTTCAGATATCTTTTTTTTAAATATTTATTTATTTATTATGTATCCAATATTCTGTCTGTGTGTATGCCTGAAGACCAGAAGAGGACACCAGACCCCATTACAGATGGTTGTGAGCCACCATGTGGTTGCTGGGAATTGAACTCAGGACCTTTGGAAGAGCAGGCAGTGCTCTTAACCTCTGAGCCATCTCTCCATCCCCGGTGCTTCTTCTCTTGCAGTGAATGTGGTGGAAGCTCTTCAGGAATTCTGGCAGATGAAGCAGTCCCGGGGCGCCGACTTGAAGAACGGGGCTCTGGTGGTGTATGAGATGGTCCCCTCCAACAGCCCTCCCTACGTCTGCTATGTCACTCTGCCCGGGGGAAGCTGTTTTGGGAGTTTCCAGGTAAGAGCGGCAAGGCCAAGTGTGTACCGCTAATTTTATTGTCGCTGACCAAAGTCATGTGGTTGAACCGCCAACTCTGGGCAAATCCTCCCCACAAGCACCAGAGGCTCCTGAGACCACAGAAGATCCTCTTCAACACTTTCTTTCAGCCTGTAAAATCTTAAACCCATCTCAAACTTGAGCCGTTATGATTGTGCCCTTTTTACTGTGTTGGACTCCCAGCGCCTAACCTTTGCGTTAATATGACTTCGACGACATCACTCCAACTTCCTGCCATTCCTTCATTTTAAACTGTGTATGGGTGTTTTGTTAGCTTGTATGTCTGTGCGGCACATATGTGGAGTGCCCAGATAGATGGTTGTGAGCTACCATGTGGGTGCTGGGAATCAAACCCGAGTCCACTGGAAGAGCAGCCAGCCCTCCCAACCACTGCTCTGATTTTATTTTTAATTACATGTGTATGTATGTGTCGGTGTGGGGGGAATGCGTGACTGCAGGAACCACCGAAGCCTGAAGATGATGGCAGATCCCCGCTGTTACAGGTGGCTGTAAACCTGAACTCAGGTCCTCTGGAAGAGCAAGAAGTGCTCTTAACTACCCAGTCATTTTTGTCTAGTCCCTCTTCCTTCCTTTTATTCTTTTTAAGATTTATTTATTTATTATGTAGTGTTCTGGCTGCATGTTTGCCTGCATCCAGAAGAGGGCGCCAAATCTCATAGATGGTTGTGAGCCTTCATGTGGTTGCTGGGAATTGAGCTCAGGACCTCTGGAAGAGGTCTTCCCAGCCCACCCTCCACTTTTTTTTTTTTTAAGAAAGTATTTCATGTATCCCAGCCTGTCCTCAAACTACGGAGTTAGGGGCAATCATGTTGAACTGCTGATCCTTCTGCCTCCATCTCGGAAGTGCAGGGATTATTGGCCTTGCGCTATCATGCTCTATTTGTGCAGTTCTTGGGGACTGATCCCAGGGCTTCCTGCATACTAGGCAAAACCTCTTTCCATGAACTACAGCCTTCTCCCCGGGTTGCATTGCCCTAAAAGTTTTCCCACCGCTGCACAGTCACGGAAGGCCAACAGTGGTGAGAGAATAGCTTCTTTACAGGCCAGTGAGAAGTGGGAGACGGAAGAGATGGTTTAGCCACCGTGAGCACCTGCTGCTCTTTCAGAGGACCACGTTCAGATCCCAGCACTCGCATCAGACCGCTCCAGGGACCTCTACAGGCACTCACTCCTGTTGTTGAGTGTTGTAAAGTCCTACACTAACTCAGAGTGGAGTATTATGTAGGGGTAGACTCACAGATCAGCAGTCCTGTACACAAGCAGGGAACAGGAACCGAATCCAGCAGCCAAGGTTTTTTATATCTGTATATGTGTGTGTGTGTGTATATATATACATACATATATATATATATATATATATATATATATATATATATATATATTACATTTGGCCACACCCAGAGTGGTATCTTAAAGGCTGTTGGCTGAAGGAGTTCCCACAACACACCTCTCTCTCTCTCTCTCATACACACACACATACACACACAAAATAAAAGTAACAAAATAAATTATAAAACCTTTTAAAAGAAATGTAGAGGGCTGGAGAGATGGCTCAGAGGTTAAGAGCACTGCCTGCTCTTCCAAAGGTCCTGAGTTCAATTCCCGGCAACCACATGGTGGCTCACAAACCATCTGTAATGAGGTCTGGTGCCCTCTTCTGGCCTGCAGGCATACACACAGACAGAATATTGGATACACAATAAATAAATAAATATTAAAAAAGAAATGTAGATTGATATGAATATAATCATCAAGAATTGATTTTTCAGCTGGGCAGTGGTGGCTCATGCCTTTAATCCCAGCACTCGGGAGACAGAGGCAGGTGGATCTCTGTGAGTAGGCCAGCCTGGTCTACAAAGTGAGTTCCAGGACAGCCAGGACTGTTACACAGAGAAACCCTGTCTCCAAAAACAAAAACAATTCAGACAGGAAGGCAGCTTTTGAAATGTCAACTTAAGAGTTTGGATAGGAATTGTTGTTGGTTTTTGTTTTGTTTTTCGAGACAGGATTTCTCTGTGGCTTTGGAGCCTGTCCTCTTGTAGACCAGGCTGGCCTCGAACTCACAAAGATCTGCCTGCCTCTGCCTCCCAAGTGCTGGGATTAAAGGCGTGTGCCACCACTGCCTGGCTCTGAATAGGAATTTAAAGAGGACAATAGACACTTTTGATTAGTTTTCACGTGATTATATCACCTTTAGATAAGGTTGGAACCCTTGCTGTTTCCTGTAGCCAGCACAGCTTGAATGCCAAGACTGGCAGGGGTGTGTGTGCTGGGATTCAGATGCAAAGGCTTCAATGCTGGAGGAAGAACAATCTTTATTTTGTCCCAAGCTAGAGCCTTTTATATCTTTAGGAAGCTGCCCTAGCCACATTGAGCAGCCAGAACCTGAGGTCAAGGTCAGGGCATCAAGTACGGAAGAACACTTCTGCAAAACACCACACACCAGAAGGAACACAAACATCCTTGTCAAATACTGGGTACAAGGAAGTTCAGCTGTCGGTCAGGGGGAATGAGGGCGGCCAAGCCATCTGGGTGCAGCGATCACAACAGCCCTCGGGCTTCCCCATCATATGACTTATAATGCATCAGTACCGATTGTCTCTTTAAGGGTTGCGGGCTTGGTCTTGGTTGCTTTTCTTTTTCTGGCTCTGTAAATATGTGTATCTGTGTGCGTACACATAAGATTGGATCCAGAGCCTTGCAAAATGTCTTCTTTCTTGTTCAGTATTAAAACCCTGCCACCCACTCCGACCTTAGCATAGTTCTTGGCTCACACAGAAGGTCCAAAAGAAACCCTGTTTTATTATTTATTTAGTTTGTTTTTCTGAGACAGGTCTCTGTAGTCCTGGCATGCATTAGTACGCCTGGTTTGGAAGCTTTCTGACTCAACACTTGAGCCATTTCGGATAAATAAAAGCAAAGGATGACTAATGCTTACATTTAGTTTTTCATATCATGTGTGTGGTGTGCATAGCGTGGACGCACTACACATTTATGTGTACGTGTGGAACCCTAGGGCGATGTGGGGGGACATCCTCAATCTCCAGTCTCTCAAACCCAGAGTTTGCCAGCGTGGCTAGCCTCTGTCGCCAGCTTGCTCTAGGAATCCATCTCTGGTGTTCCAAGCTGGAGCCTCAGACTTTTGCTAAAGAAAAATATGGTTCCTTCTTCTCACCTCCTCATAGTTTGAAGGGCAGTTTGAATTTTATGATGCTCATAAAAAAACCATTCTTATACTTTGATTTGTTATTTTCTGGGAGTGCAGTTATCTGTTCCTGGACCCTTTTAGCTTGTTATTTAAATCCGCCTTAGCAGGTGAAAGTCTCCCTGCTGGGTCTCTTCAAGGCTGACTTTTACAGAAGTAGTATTATGGGATAAAGTGCTTAAGAGGCTGGTAATAAAGTAGAAATAGGGAAACTAAAACAGAAAGCCTTAGTGTGAACATATCAAGCCCCGTATGCCGTCTCAGAGGGAATTAGGAGTGACCAATAGCGGTAGCTAAGGGACCAACATCTCCCACTGTCCTTTAGAAAGCTGAAACATCAAGCCCATGTGGTGCCACACGTCTTAACCCTAGCATTTGGGAGGCAGAGGGATCTCTGTGTGTTCAGGGCTAACCTGGTCTACACAGTGAGTTCCAGAAAGCAAAAAGCCACACTGCCCCTGTTAATCATGAATGGCAAAGGGTCCAGAGGCTTCTGAGCACCTGATGAAAAGACTAGTTATTTCAGGGTAGCGTGATGGCGGGGGGGATTTATCCCAGAACAGTGTGATGGGGGGGGGGGATTATCCCAGAGCAATGTGATGGAGGGGGGAGATTATCCCAGAGCAGTGTGATGGGGGGAGATTATCCCAGAGCAGTGTGACGGGGGGGGGGGGGGGAGATTATCCCAGAGCAGTGTGATGGGGGGATTTATCCCAGAACAGTGTGATAGGGGGATTATCCCAGAGCAGTGTGATGGGGGGGGAGATTATCCCAGAACAGTGTGATGGGGGGATTATCCCAGAGCAGTGTGATGGAGGGGGGAGATTATCCCAGAGCAGTGTGATGGGGGGGGGGGGAGATTATCCCAGAGCAGTGTGATGGGGGGGGAGATTATCCCAGAGCAGTGTGATGGGGGGATTATCCCAGAGCAGTGTGATGGCGGGGGGGGGGGGGGACTTATCCCAGAGCAGTGTGATGGGGGGAGATTATCCCAGAGCAGTGTGATGGAGGGGGGATTATCCCAGAGCAGTGTGATGGAGGGGGGATTATCCCAGAGCAGTGTGATGGGGGGATTATCCTAGAGCAGTGTGATGGGGGGATTATCCCAGAGCAGTGTGATGGAGGGGGATTATCCCAGAGCAGTGTGATGGGGGGATTATCCCAGAGCAGTGTGATGGAGGGGGGATTATCCCAGAACAGTGTGATGGAGGGGGGATTATCCCAGAGCAGTGTGATGGAGGGGGGATTATCCCAGAGCAGTGTGATGGAGGGGGGATTATCCCAGAGCAGTGTGATTGGGGGGGAGATTATCCCAGAGCAGTGTGATGGCGGGGGGGATTTATCCCAGAGCAGTGTGATGGAGGGGGGATTATCCCAGAGCAGTATGATGGAGGGGATTATCGCAGAGCAGTGTGATGGGGGCATTATCCCAGAGCAGTGTGATGGCGGGGGGGGGGGGGGGATTTATCCCAGAACAGTGTGATGGGGGAGATTATCCCAGAGCAGTGTGATGGAGGGGGGATTATCCCAGAGCAGTGTGATGGAGGGGGGATTATCCCAGAGCAGTGTGATGGAGGGGGGATTATCCCAGAGCAGTGTGATGGAGGGGGGATTATCCCAGAGCAGTGTGATGGAGGGGGATTATCCCAGAGCAGTGTGATGGAGGGGGGATTATCCTAGAGCAGTGTGATGGGGGGAGATTATCCCAGAGCAGTGTGATGGGGGGGGGGATTTATCCCAGAGCAGTGTGATGGAGGGGGGATTATCCCAGAGCAGTGTGATGGGGGGAGATTATCCCAGAGCAGTGTGATGGAGGGGGGATTATCCCAGAGCAGTGTGATGGAGGGGGATTATCCCAGAGCAGTGTGATGGGGGGATTATCCCAGAACAGTGTGATGGAGGGGGGATTATCCCAGAGCAGTGTGATGGAGGGGGGATTATCCCAGAGCAGTGTGATGGAGGGGATTATCCCAGAGCAGTGTGATGGGGGGTAGATTATCCCAGAGCAGTGTGATGGAGGGGGGATTATCCCAGAGCAGTGTGATGGCGGGGGGATTATCCCAGAGCAGTGTGATGGAGGGGGGATTATCCCAGAGCAGTGTGATGAGAGGGGATTATCCCAGAGCAGTGTGATGGGGGGGGGAGATTATCCAAGAGCAGTGTGGTGGTGGGGATCTGACATTGGGAAGACTTCTGAAAATTGTATTTGCCCTGATACCGTGTTGGTTGCAATTTAAAACAAGTTTCTGCTGCTTCCCTTGCTTTCCTCAGCCAGCCTGCCTTCCCTTAGCTGCATGTCCCTGCACCCACTGTGGGGAAAGACATCTTCAGACTTAGACCCTACTGAGGTAGCGCCTGTGACCTGCCTGCTTACCGCTAAGAGTGAAGAGCAAGAATCCCAGAGGGGTGCTTCTAACGGGTCATGGCCTGACTTAATCTTGGGTTATCTAGAATTCAGACACCATCACCCAAAAAAGCGGGCCAGGAGCTGGCTTTTGAGTAGTTAGTTCTGTTGACAGTTTAAATAGAAGCATGTTCCATGTCTTGTGATTATATGCTGACTTCAGCAGCCTTCCTCGCCCTGCATTCAATTTGGTATGAGCTAGTCATCTCCAATGCTTTAATGACTTCAGGATGTTGAGTCAAAGTTATGTTTTCAAACACCCCAGCCACTTCACAGCAACGCTCGGGAAAGTGTGATGAACACTACTGATTCATCCGTGGTGTCCAAATGTCTCCTCCTCAGTGGCCTCCTTCCTGCTGCTCTTCCTCTCTCTCAGTGCTCTCATTCTTTCTCCCCCAACCCAGTTTTGCCCCACCAAAGCTGAGGCCCGGCGAAGTGCTGCGAAGATTGCGCTAATGAACTCCGTGTTTAACGAGCATCCATCCCGAAGAATCACCGATGAGTTTATTGAGAAGAGTGTCTCAGAGGCCCTGGCGTCTTTCAATGTAAATAACTTGGGAATGGGAGGAGGGAAGCAGGGGGTGGCAGAGCTGGGGAACCCATGCGCTTTTGTTCTTCCCTCTGCTACTTTTCTATTGTTTATTCTATCGATTTTGTGTGTGTTGTGTGCTCCATGTCTGCCTTTAATTCTAGATCTGTGTTTTTATGTTTAATGATTTGTCTTTGTGTTCCTTTGGTATCTAAGATACTTTTTAAAAAGACTTACACAGTATTCAGCCTGCATGTATGTCTGCAGGCCAGAAGAGGGCACCAGATCTCGTTACAGAGGGTTGTGAGCCACAATGTGGGAATTGAACTCAGGACCTCTGGAAGAGCAGCCAGAGCTTTTAACCTCTGAGCCATTTTTCCAGACAGTATCTAGATGCTTTTAATTCAAGATTTGTGGGATTAAAAATTATATTAAAAAATTTTAAGCCGGGCAGTGGTGGCGCACGCCTTTAATCCCAGCACTCGGGAGGCAGAGGCAGGCGGATCTCTGTGAGTTCGAGGCCAGCCTGGTCTACAAGAGCTAGTTCCAGGACAGGAACCAAAAGCTACGGAGAAACCCTGTCTCGAAAAATCAAAAAAAAAAAATTTTTAAATTATAATGATAGCCGTGGTGATACATACCTTTAGTCCTGACACTCCGGAGGCGGATAGATGTGTGTGAGTTCCAGAATAGCCAGGGCCATAGAGAGAACCTATCTCAAACAAACAAAAATAATAATGAAATCTTTAGCATGTTTATATACATGCCATGGCACATCTGTAGAGGTCAGAGGACAACTTCTGGGAGGCCATTGTGGTTTTCTCCTTCAGCTGTGAGGAGTCTGGTATCAAACTCAGGTTTCCAGGTGTGGAGGGAAGTATCTTTAAGTGCTGAGCCCTCTTACTGGTTTCACTGGTCCCAATTTATGGAATTTTAGAGCTATTAAAATAATGAAATAGCTTCATGCTTGAATTTTACTTCTAAGTTTGGTTTAAAAATTCCAGTTCCTGTTCCTTTAAGACAGGTAGCTCTGCAACACCGGCTGGGGAGAGATGCCCTCCCCTTCTATCAGCAGGTGTTGATGGCCAGGCAGTGATGGGCACACCTTTAATCCTAGCATGTGGGAGGCCCAGACAGCAGATCTTTGTGAGTTTGAGGTCAGCCTGGTCTACAGAGGGAGTTCCAGGACAGCCAGGGCTACACTGAGAAACCCTGTCTTGAAAAACCAAAAATTAAAGAGTGGGAGCACTGTCCCTGCCCCTTATCAGCTGCAACACTCAGAGAGTGGTCCCTGCTCCTCCTGGGCAAGGCAGTACACCCGGGCCCTGAAGACGCTGGTTAGGGAGAACCGGCCCCGCCCCTTGCTCCCCCCTACAAGGGGTGAACTAGCCGAGGCAATGCTGGAGAGCCCACCCTGGTGGCAAAGACGGGATTGGCAGGCAGACCAACCCTGCAACTCCCCTGGCCCAGAACCTGCGTTATGTGTTGGCGCACCCCAACATCCACCTCATCTGTGCTGGATATGGTCGGGGTGAGGGGTGTGCCAGCCCTATGGACCCAGAGTTGCAGGATCTCCAGGACACAGGGCAGCAACAGGATGTCCAGGTAGAGTCCAGCATCAGTGGTGCAGCAGGAATCAGGGGCCTTGATCGCCCACACCTAAAACTGTAGGGATAACGGGGTTTACTGCGTGACTCACTGTTTTCACATTGCAGCTTCTATAACAAAAATTCCCTCTTCCTCCTCTTCTCTAAAATTTTATTTTGTTTTATTTTGGGGTGGGGAGGGAAATGGGTGTGGTTGGGAGGCATGATGTGAAAGTCACAAAGAACAAGGTAGCTCTGTGAGTGGAGACAGGCAGATCCCTAGAACTCTGGCCATTCACTGAACCCAATCATATAGCTCAGCGTTTACTGTAAATCAGATGGAGGGACAGAGAGGGGAAGAGAACCAGTCAATCCCCGGCCTCCACACTGGTGTGCACACAGAACAGTCTCTTAAGCCATTTATTTTTATTTCAATGTAGCAACTGGAAAAATTTAAAATCAAACAGGGAGGCTTAAAAAATGGCTCCGAAAGCACTTGCTTTCTCAGAGGACCCAAGTTCAGTTCCCTGTGTCAGGCAGGCTGCAGGTAACTCCACTTCCAAGGGGATCTGCTGCCGCCTCCTTCTGGCCTCTGTTGGCATTTGTACACACCACAGACACACACGCCATCTTTTAAAAATTCTTTTTAAAAAAATTAAGTATGTGGCTCATAAAGGGCTGGGGAGTGGGTCAGCAAATAAAAGCATTTGCCTTACAGGCAGGAGGTCCTTAGTTTGATCCCCAAAGCCCACTTGAAAAGCTAGGCTAGTGTGGCAGCTCACATGTGTAGCCCGAGCGGGGTATCCCTAGGGCTCTGGTCACATGTGTAGCCCCAGAGCTGGGTATCCCTAGGGCTCTGGTCACATGTGTAGCCCGAGCGGGGTATCTCTAGGGCTCTTGGCTAGTCAGCCTAGCATAACGGGTAAGCCTGAGGCCAGCAGTCTCTCAGAGGAGGGGGTCAGTGCTCCTCAAGAGTAACTCCAGATGAGTACACATACACACGTGCACACGCAAGCACATACACACACGTGCATAAAAAATGTTACGAAGTTCTATTGGGTAATGCTGGTCAAAGTGGTAATTCTGATTGAAACCCTACTTGTCTTTTTCATTCCTGTTACCAGGGAAACAGAGAAGAAGCTGACAACCCAAATACAGGGATTGGTGCTTTTCGATTCATGCTGGAATCTAATAAGGGCAAGTCAATGCTGGAGTTCCAGGTACTGCCCCACCTTCTTTCCTGGCTCTAATCACAGAGGTCAGCCTGACACAGCAAGTTCAATGTCACCTACTCATCTCTATCTTATTGTTCTGGGGCAGGGGGAGGGGGACAGATGGAGAGAAGGTGGTTAGATTTTCAAAGTACAATTACCTTTCTTCCCCCAAGGGCACAGAGTTGGTGATTAGATAGATATTAGAGATGCTTCCAAAAATACATTTTGTCCCATTTGATTCTGATGTGGTATAATTTAAAATCACTATCCTGACTGTATCAGCCAGGATTATCTGGAGAACCAGAACAGACAGAATGCTCGCTCTCTCTCTCTCTCTCTCTCTCTCTCTCTCTCTCTCTCTCTCTCTCTCTCACACACACACACACACACACACACAATTTATTAGAGTAATTTATAGGCTGTGGTCTGAGTTTTCCAACAAAGTCTGTCTTCAGTAATCCAGGAGTTGTCCAGTAGAGATTGGATGTCTTAGCTGGTCTTCAGTGCATACCAGAGTCCCAAAGCAGGCTCTAATACCAGTGAAGGAATGGACGTACTGGTGAAAGCAAGCTTCCTTCCTTCATGTCCTTATATAGGCTGCCACAGTGTGGCCCGGATTTAAGGGAGGTGTTTGTGTGTTTGTTCCCACTACAAATGATCCCATCAAGAAAAGTCCCTCACAGTGCACCAGCAGCTTGGGGCTTAGTTAATTCGAGGTAGCAAGTCAACAACCAGAATTAGCCATCACGCTAGTATTTCCCGTCTTCTTTCCTCAGGAGCTCATGACAGTTTTTCAGCTGCTGCACTGGAATGGCAGCCTCAAGGCCATGAGGGAAAGACAGTGCTCTCGACAGGTAGGAGTCAGCTGAGGGAAAAGGGTGAAGAGCTGCTTTGGGCTTCAAATGGCTGCCAGGCCGTCACTGCTGTAGGCCCTATTTCAGCATCCTCTTTGCTCTCGCATTCTTTCATCATTTTAGCTTGTCGAGACGGGGCTTCTCTGTGCAGCCCTGGCTGTCCTGGAACTCGCTCTGTAGACCAGGCTGGCCTCAGACTCAGAGATCTGCCTGCCTCTGCCTCCTAAAGGCACCTAGTCTGTCCTGGTATTCTTTGCTGTCTGAATGTCATTGTGGCCCTCTTACCTTGCTTCCCCACTATGAAGTTTCCCTTAGGAAACTCTTTGACTGAAGTGGGTTTGGTAGCTGATGCCTTTAATCCCAGCACTTAGGAGGCAGAGGCAGGTGGATCTCTGAATTCTAGCAAGTTCCATGGTAGCTTGTGCTACATTGTGAGACCCTGTCTCAAAACAAAACAGCCTCCTTGGCCTCTGTCTCCAAGCTGCCATGACATGAACTAGTCTGCCCCACCATGGCTCCCCTCCAAGATGGGCCAACAGCTCTGAAACCGCCCCATTCTGGTGTCCTTCTCACTAAGAACCAGAGGACCAATCTGTCACATTAAATCACAGATCAGCCTCCAGTGTCCCATGGAGCTTTCAGTTCCTTCTGTGACAAGGAGCTGGCTGGAGCAGAAGAAATGAAATAAGCATTGCATTTGTAAAATAGTTTTGGCAAGTTATGGGCATTCCTACATTCCCCTGAGCAAGAGTTCATGGTGACCTGAGACAGTGTGCTGAGGTTTTCACATTTAGGAGATTTTGTTGTTTTTAAAAGATGACCACATTTCCCACCTAAGTCAGATACCTTCTGTGTGCTGCTGGGGCACTGAAGGTGTGGTCCCCGAGCTCAGAGCTTTCACTGTGCTCCCCATGGCAGAGCCCCTGCGCCTCCCTCGTCTGTGCATACATCCAAGCCCCCCCCACTTCTGTTTTACTCAAACTCTTATAACATAAGGGAAAACCAATCTCCGTAGGTCATGTGCTAACTTCAGTTCAGACTATGGTATACTATGTAGATATGTGCCTGTCTGTTGGGTCCCTGTGCAATGATGTGTAGGACATTTACGAGTCTATTGGGGTCCTGTGCTATAATGTGTAGGATGTGTCTGTCTATTGGGGTCCTGTGCTATAATGTGTAGGACATTTACGTGTCTATTGGGGTCCTGTGCTATAATGTGTAGGACATGTGTCTGTCTATTGGGGTCCTGTGCTATAATGTGTAGGACACGTGTCTGTCTATTGGGGTCCTGTGCTATAATGTGTAGGACACGTGTCTGTCTATTGGGGTCCTGTGCTATAATGTGTAGGACATGTGTCTGTCTATTGGGGTCCTGTGCTATAATGTGTAGGACATGTGTCTGTCTATTGGGGTCCTGTGCTATAATGTGTAGGACATGTGTCTGTCTAGGGGTCCTGTGCTATATGATGATTTTTACCTTCTCCGTGACCTCTGCATTCCTCTCCCTGACCAGGAGGTGTTGGCTCATTATTCGCACCGGGCCCTGGATGATGATATCCGCCACCAGATGGCTCTGGACTGGGTGAACAGGGAGCAGAGTGTGCCGGGGGCACTGTCTAGAGAGCTGGCCTCCACTGAGCGGGAGCTGGATGAAGCCCGGCTGGCAGGCAAGGAGCTGCGCTTCCACAAGGAGAAGAAGGACATCCTCATGCTGGCGGCTGGGCAGTTGGGCAATATGCATTCCTCCAGCTGCTAAGCACCTGCCCTCACTACCATGCTCATCAGGCCCTTTTTTGTATGTCTCCTTTCTAAGACGTAGGACGATTTCTGTATATACTTTCTCAATTTTATACTTTTAAATATAGATATATATGTATAAACTCTACACCTGGATTCCTGTTTGCTGAGATCCCTTTTCTAACTCCCCGTTTGGGGATGTAGCTACCTTTGGAGTATCACTGTTCCAGTTGAGAGCTTTGTTGGCTCCTGCACCTTCAGATGAAGTATAAGAGTCATTCCTGTAGCACGGTACACTTGATTAAGTGTCCATGTCTCTTTTTCTTAAAAAAGCAGCCAGCCTGCCAGGTGGTGGCTCACACTTTTAATGGCAGCACTTGGGAGGCAGAGACAGGTGGATCTCTGTGAGTCTGAGGCCAGCCTGGTCTACAGAACAAGTTCCAGAACAGCCAAGGCTACACAGAGAAACCCTGTCTCAAAAAGCCAAAAACAAAAACAAAGCAATCAGACATGAGTGTGATGACTGTAGCCATCACCTCTGCACTCAGCAGTCTGTGAAGGAGGCCAGCCTGGACTACACAGAGAGTTCCAGGTCAGCATGGGCTCCAGGGTGTAAAACCCTGTCTCAAACCCCTCTTGTACATATGAGACAACAGTCGGACAGGAGTATGTGCTCCACCCTCACCCATGTTTGCTTCCTCCACACTGAAACAGGGTGAGTGTGAGCTCTGGCTCGAGGTGGAATTCTGACGATCTCCTCCTGCTCTCTTTCCTCCTTCCTTGCCTCCAAATGCTCCTTCGTTTGGGGGCTTCCCTACCTTATCCAGAAGGAACAGGCAATCTGGCTTCTTTTTGTTTTGTGAGACATCTCTCTAAGTAAGTAGCCCTGGCTGGCCTGGAACTCCTTCTGTAGACCAGGAGAGCTTCATACGTGTGGCAGTATTCCTGCCGAGGTCATGGACATGTGTCACCATGCCTGGCTTGGCTTTTATTTTGAAGTCACTCCTGAGAAAAATGCTCAAGAAAAAGAGAATTCTAAACCCAGTTCCTATGAAGTGAGAGGGGACACACACACACACACGACACAGACACCAGTCCCTAAACTCTTCTGGCCTTATTGCTACCTTCCAGCCAAGCGCTTTCTGCTGTAAGAGGAGCCTAGGGTTTCGGCTGCTTACCTTTACCATTCTGTGCCTCTTCTCTCTGCCATCATATGTGGTAAGGCTACACACACACACACACACACACACTTCCTCTTCCCATTTCATTTTGTTTATGTAGCCCAGGCTAGCCTCAAACTCTCCTTGCAGCTGAGAATGACCTTGAACTCCTGAGCCTCCTGCACCCACCTCCCCTATGCTGAGATTACAATGGAGTACCACCTCACCTGCCTTAACCCTTCCTTCAATAGTTGGAAGAAGTGTTCTGCTCTTTAGAAACTGTCTCTGGTCTGTGTCTTGAGAACCATGTTCCTCTCAGGCCCACCGAGTTGTGCTGTTTACTCTTAGATTCTCATTTCCTGTGTCTTCCTCCTTTCCCTCCACATTGTCTGTGAGAACGTGAGTTGATGAAACGTGGATGAGAACGTGGTTCTTCCTAAGTGGAACCTTGAGCGCCTGCAGGAGAGGAAAGAGAACAAGGTACTTGTGTGTGCAGAGAGAGATGTCCTGAAGGCAGAGCTAGGTGCTTTCGGAGACTTTCACGGAGTAAGCTGTTTCCCTTGTTTCTGTGATCTCCGCTACACTGTATTATTGTTCACTTTCTATCATTTTAATGCTACTATAATCTGACTTCCCATTTAACAGTTGCAATTTGTTTTTAGATTAGGAACTGGGCCTGGTGATGCAGGTCTGTAGTCCCAGTTACTATAGAGGATAAGGCAGGAAGATCAGAAACTCAAGATACATCCCAGCTAGAATGAGTTCAGAGGCAACCTGGGTAGCTTAGCAAGACTGTCTCAAAAATATGAAGTAAAAACAGGGCTGGGGAATAGCTTAGCAGCAGGGTTGGATGGGCTTGTGGGGCCTGAGTTTAATTTTTGCTGCTGAAAGGGTGGTGGGGGGAGAGTGGGAGATTTGGGGGGAAGAGGGGAAGGAGTAGATTAGATCACAGCTCACTTGGCAGGAGCAAGGTGAAAAGCAGCTTTCTTGCTTTTGAAATCATCTTTGTGACAAGGACACATGGGATCAGGTCGTGAGCCCAGGGACAACAGTATCTGTGCTTAGAAAAGGGTTCCTCCATTCCTCTAGCCCTGCCTCTTTATTTCACAAAGCAGACTGGGTCGGAACAGAGGCTCCCATATTACACGGTCGGTGCACCTGTCTTAAATTGGTATTTATAACCCAGAAGTCATGAACCCGCTCACTTCTCCTGTGCGCCGTTCTTTGTGTAAATGTGTTAAGGGGTATGCACTTGGGGAAGAATTGTCCTTGCACCTCCTGGATTTATTTTTCTCAAAAACCCAAGACTCCAAAGAATATGAGAAAATTTGTTCTGTCCACTTTTGATGTTGAAGATTTTAGTTATCTTTTTGGTACTTTCTATGTATTTTATATGTAAAATTTTACACAATTAAAAATGGGTTTTTGTCTAGTAAGCCAGAATGACTTTTTCTTTCTCCTGTGATAGGATCTCGTGTGGCTTCCAACTTGCTGTGCATCTAAAGCTAGCCCTGAATACTTCATCCTCCTACCTCTACTTACCAAGCAATGAGATCAGTGCCATGTGCCACTCAGCCTGATTACTGTTTTTTTCTGTTTGGTTTTTCGAGACAGGGTCTTACTGTAGAGCCATAGATGGCCTGGTACTTGCTATGTAGATCAGGATGGCTTCAAACTTGCAACAACCCTTCTGCCTCTGCAGTCAGAATCTGGAATTACAAGCATGTGTCACCTCCTGCCAGAATGACAGGCAGTTATCAGAGCTCCAACATGGCCTCTTGCACCCACACATAAACTGACAAAGGCTTTGAGGCTGACATACTGCCGAGAGAAGGCAGTTGCTCTCCTCCAAATAGTCAAGGGGCCCGGATTTTGTCCATGGCCCTTTCTCAAGCTCATTCTCACTATGGCTATTAAACGTTATATGTATGATTCTCAAATACATTTCTTCCATCTCAACTTGTTTGGAGCTTTTATGTACTACATACTGGCCATCACCATCCAGACATGACAGAAACATTGTGAACTCAGATATCCATGATGAAACCTGCTTCTCCACTTGCTCCTCCTTGACTTCCTACATCGATTACAGAATCGCCCTTCACCTGGTTATTTAAGGTCTCTCCTCAGCTCTTCCCCATCACCATCCCGTTAGTCACTGCATACAGAGTTTGCATTTTATATGAATTCCAATCTGGTTTGTTCGTGTTTCCTGCTTCATTCCGTCCTTCCTCACATCTGTGCTGGACCACTGCCACGGCTCCCTAATTGACCTTTGCACTCCTGCTCTTTTCCCAGCATGGCGGCTCTGCTCTTCTCCAAACTGTCTCAGCTGCCTTTGCCTGTAACAGCACTGCCCAGAGCTTTATACATGAGCCTGAGGTGGACTGAGGTAGGAAAAAGCAGTGACTTGATTACAGTACTGCTTGTACTACCTATTTTTTTTTTTCGAGACAGGGTTTCTCTGTGGTTTTGGAGCCTGTCCTGAAACTAGCTCTTGTAGATCAGGCTGGTCTCGAACTCACAGAGATCCGCCTGCCTCTGCCTCCCGAGTGCTGGGATTAAAGACGTGCGCCACCACCGCCCGGCCTGTACTACCTATTTTTCAATCATGACTCACTTGCTACCTGAACAGAATGACCTGGATAAACAGCCCAAACAGTGGGTCGTTGCCCATAACAACCTGCTGACTACCTGTGCACTTCTGTGAAGCCTCGCTTGCTTGCCTGCCCCATTTGTGGTTTTAGAGTATAAAATATAAATAAAAAATAAATAATAAATAAAATATAAACTGGCCCTGGATGGAAGGCTTCCAGGAGCTACGCTGGCTTCAGTCCACTGCGGACATCTCCTCTCTCCCACTCTCATTGGGGTTGAAATGCTTATTCCATAAAGATTCAGCATTGTCATTAAAAAAAAAAAATTTATTTATTTATTATGTATACAATATTCTGCCTGTGTGTATGTCTGCAGGCCAGAAGAGGGCACCAGACCCCATTACAGATGGTTGTGAGCCACCATGTGGTTGCTGGGAATTGAACTCAGGACCTTTGGAAGAGCAGGCAATGCTCTTAACCTCTGAGCCATCTCTCCAGCCCTGCAAAACGCTTTTTACATTATATTTTTGTGCAAATTTACTATAGAAAATCTTGCTTTTCTATTTACAGTACTGTGATTAAATGTCCCTTTAGAGTAAATTTATGTTTTAAAATTTTAAGAAAAAAATGCCAAGCAAAAAATAATTTAGAAGCTATGGTGGGGGGTTTCCACATGTTAAAAGTCATAAATAGAGGGCTAGAGGAAAGATTGCTCGGAGGTTACGAACCCTTGCTGCTCTCGTAGAGGACCTGAGTTGGGTTCCTTCCACCCGCACTGGGAAGTTCACAGCAGCCTGAAACGCCAGCTCTGATACCCTCTTTTGGGCTCTTCAGGCCACTGTACTCAGGTTCCACCACCACCCAGATACTAACAAGGCAGGCTGAGGTGGCTTGTGCAGAGGCACACAGATCTTTTTGGTTTCAAGGCCAGCCTAGACCATCTTGAGTTCAAGGCCAGTTAGGACTTGTGAGACTTGTCTTAAATAAATCTTTGTAAAAAAAAAATCACGAATACTCAAGATATCTGAAGAGGAATTTCTTTTTTTTTTAATATTTATTTATTTATTATGTATACAATATTCTGCCTGTGTGTATGTCTGCAGGCCAGAAGAGGGCACCAGACCTCATTCCAGAGGTTGTGAGCCACCATGTGGTTGCCGGGAATTGAACTCAGGACCTCTGGAAGAGCAGGCAGTGCTCTTAACCACTGAGCCATCTCTCCAGCCCCGAGGAATTTCTTATTTAGGATTAAACTACACAAACCTTTAGCATGGCAATATGATCGTAAGCTGCCATTTACAGATTTATTTCCCAGTCTCACAGCTTTAAGCATACAGAATTCATTTTAAAATTCACTCTTTTCTTCTTTACCATGGGACAGGGCAGCGGGCACCAGTTTTAGAGATAATTAGAAAGAAGCATCTTTACTTCATAAATTACACCATAATGGGAGGGGGCAGTTGATAAACAAGTTAAAAACAAGACAAGGCAACTAAACATCCTTTAATCAATTCTAAGAAGGAAAGAAACCGGAAAGGAGGGTAATAAAAACGCCTTCAGTGAGAGTATTGACCCCTAAAGGATGAGGCTGGGCCATCCACGCCAAAAACCTGGAGGAACAGCATCAGCATGAAAGCAGGCCAAGTGCTCTACCACCTAGCTACATCCCTGCCCTGGGGACCAAAGCTGCAAAATCCTGAGATGAGAAAGAGTACACCATAGGTAAGAGCAAGTGTAGGGAAGGATCAATAAGATAGCCTGGTCTACACAGAGAGACCCTGCCTCAAACTAAACAAAAACGAAAATACCCATATGTGATGGCTCTTCCTGGTTGTCGGCTTGACTGTCTCTGGAATGAACTACAGTCCAGAAATGCAGGGCACACTTGTGATCTGGATCTTGAGGTAGGAAGACAACGTGACTTTGATCTGGATCTCGAGGCAGGAAAGCAGGCGCACCTTTAATCTGGGCCATGCCGTCTGCGGGAAGCCTGAATGAGGACAGTGGGGTAAGGAAGGCTGTTCTTCATCTGCTTGCCCTCACCTGTTGCCCATCCATTCCTTCTCAAGATCCCAGCAGACCGGCTGAGACGGCCAGCCTCGTGGGACTGAGCAGCTCTTAGATTCTTGGACTTTCCTAACTGGCCATTGTTGAACTGCAGCCTATAAAGTCATTCCAATATGTGTGTGTGTGTGTATTTATATATATATACATACACACACACATACACATCTCTCTTTCTCTCTGAGAGAAAGATTCATTCCATAAGTTCTGTGACTCTAGAGAACCCTAACACAATTCAGAAATGAAAGACACACTTGTAAGAGGTCTTCTGCTTGAAGTGGGTGAATCCAGTTTTAATTCAGAGCCTGGAGGGAGGATGTACATCTTTGATCCCGATTGTGAGGTGGGAAGACAGCCCTTTAATCTGGTCTGTCTGCTGGAAGTCTACATAAGGATATAGAAAAAGGAAGCTCTTGCTTTCTGCCTGCTTGCATATCCATTCCTTCGCTGGCATTGAGTCTGCTTCTTCCAGATTCCAGCATATACAGAAGTCCCAGCTTTGGGGGACTGAGCAGCCACTAGATTTGTGGACTTTCCATTCACAGCTACTCATTGTTGGATTAGCTAGACTGCAGCATGTAAGTCATTCCAAGAAATCATGTGTGTGTGTGTGTGTGTGTGTGTGTGTGTGTGTGTGTGTGTGAGAGAGAGAGAGAGAGAGAGAGAGAGAGAGAGAGTCATTCTGTAAGTTCTGTGACTCTAGAGAACCCTGACTAATTCAGCATACTACCTTCAAGGATGGTAAAGCTGCTTTGAGGGCTCTGATGCCTCCTTCCCTTCTTGTCTATCTTTGGCTTGTGCCATGCTGGTGATGAAACCAAGGGTTTCATAAATACTACTGTAATACATTTATCAATTAAGCAACATTCTTAGCTCTACAAGACTTACCTTAAAAAGAAAAAAAAAAGAAAAAAAAACTGAAGCTGGGTCCCACCACCTCAGAGGCTGAAGCAGACAGATCTCTGTGTATTTGAGGTCAGCCTTGGTCTACAGTGAGACTCTTAAAACAACAAAAATTTGCTATCTGCCTGGCCAATCAAATTCCAACTGTCTTCATCTGTTTTCTTAGTGTTCTTCTTTTTCTTTTCTTCTCTTATTTCTCTCTCTTTCTCTCTTTTTTAATCCTAGGCTACCTGCCTCAGCCTCCCAAGTGCTGGGATTAAAGGCATGTAAAGGCATGGCTGGTCTACTAGTTTTCCTAAAATTCTGCACCAG